TAACTTTTTATTTATAATGACATCAGAAATAAAATACATAAGAGAAATTTTAAAACCACAGTCATGCGTAGGGTTTCTATAGATATCCACAACCCTATATTTTTAGAGAATATCAAGTATAACTTTATCTTTCCTTGATTAAGAGGCATGTCATAGAAAACAATACCCTCACCACCAACTGAATTTTAGAATACTTTGCTCCCATACAGGCGTCTTTTGTCTATTTTAAGTTCTTGTTCCTAACTTGTTCTCTTTTTTTGCTAGATGTCACATCCTGCTGACACCAGTGTATCTGCTTGAAACAAGAACGTTCCTTTTTCTAAACAGTCATCGCTAAACTGCTATTAGTCTATAATCAACCTTACTAGAATTGTGAGTAAAATAAAAGTAAAGAAGTACTGAAAGAGAACTAGGAGAGCTTACTCTGAGAAAAGTCCGTGAGATAAATATGTGCTCAAACTTTGTTACATATATTAATATTTGAGATACAGAGGGCCCTTTGGCTAATTTCTTGATTCTTGGGTGGATTTAGGAAATGTGGTATGTTACAACATATTTCAAAATAAGATGAAAAAAAATCTTAGAAGATACACTTTAATACAGTTTATTAACAGTTAATTAGTTGGCTTTCTTCAGATAAAGACCATCTAAAAAGCGGGGGTAGGGGGAAGGTTCTAGTTCCTTTCATGGTGGTACGTTAGGTAACAAAAAACAATTTAAAAACAAAACCAAGTTGTTAGAAGACATGCTTCTGTCAATAATAATAAAAACAAAAGCAAAACCAAAAATTATGTTCTCCCTCCAAAAAAAAAAAAACCTCAACAAATATACTAACACATCCTGTAGCACTACTGAAGTAAACAAGGAGGCACAAGCCAGTATTCTGAGAAGTGCTTGAATACACATGACTCCCGTTTTGTTTTTTGTTTTTTTTTTTTAAAGAAATCACTGGGTACTTTTTAAGTTTATACAGCTTAGTAACCCCACTATCTAAACTTCTAAAAAAAAATTCAACAGCTATCACTAAACTAATTGTCTTACAACTTAAGCTAAGTTTATTTGTTAAAAAGTGTACTCAACAAATATAT